ATTAGCTGATGCTTCTAGATTCACGGTGTCATGTTCAGTAGGAATTTAAAAGTTTACATGAGTGCTGAGAGCGATTGATAGAAACGCTTCTGAAAAGTTAAATTTCGACAGGTGGATTACAAAAAATATTGAATTGTGTAAAAGATGCCATTGGACTCGTGCTTCAATTCCAATATTATTTCCCCCTTGGCTTATTAAAATTGATATTTTCCATGGGTGAAGACTACATCTTTTAAAGTAATGATAAATTCATCTTGGTTGCTATCTGATTATTTTCTTTGAATGTTAAGTGGTTAGATATAGCTAATAAAAGCATATAAATTTTGTTTTACAGCTTACGACACCTGCAGCTCGACACAGTTCACATGTGACAATGGCCGTTGTATCTCGGCGTCCTGGAAGTGTGACCACGATGATGATTGTCATGATATGTCTGATGAGAGAAACTGCGGTAAGAATGACCCTTTTTTGAAAATTTTATGCGGGTAACTCTATCTTTGACTGTACAAAATTGCTTTGAAATTTGCCTTGATATGTCTGATGAGAAAAACTGCCATAAGGCTGGCCTGAAATTTTAAGTAATAAGATGAAATGTTTACGCTGGCAACTTTTTCCATTGCCGTAATAATAATAATAATAATAATAATAATAATAATAATAATAATAGTAATGATAATGATAATAATAGTAGTAATAATAATAGCAATAATAATAGTAATAATAGTAATAATAATGATAATAATAATAGCAGTCAGTGCTTGCATAGCGCTTATCCAGTTCACTCTAGCCTTGATTTGTCTGACGAGAGAAACCACCCCAAGACTTACTTTTTGCGTTCAGATTTATTCGTTTCTATGAAGTTTTTATGCAGACCTCTTTATCCAATGCTGAAAGAAATTGGTTGTCAGTAAAAAGACTTCTGTACATTTGGAGATTGTAGTGTATTAGGATTGGCAAATGGCGAAAGTGAGAAAACTGGGAGCGAATATCAGTCTTGTTGGAATAGTCCTCACTGTGAAGGGAAACTCACGGAATGTTAGGTTAGCGAGAAAGGGAAAATCAAAAGAACGATGGGAATGAACCGAAGGCTTTACACCATGGCATCAGTATGGATATTCTCCTTACTTTCCTTATACATTTCCTATGCTGTCCACAAGGAGAAGTTGTCTTAAACAGTTACAGATCTTCTTTAGTTGGTGATCATTAGGATAATACTGTAGGGAAAAATTAGATGCTGGTCACTCTTGGAGGTTGAAGAGTTTTGAGTGGAAGGTGATGCCACTTGGATGTTTATTTGTACCCAATTCATTGACCAGCTCCCAGTTGGCTTGTTAGCTCAATTGGTAGAGCGCTGCACCGGTATCGCAGAGGTCATGGGTTCAAATCCCGTACGGGCCTGAATTTTTTTCAGGTCCTATTTACAACTACTAGTTTCAGTAGTGTTCTTAGCTGCGAGGATCTTCTAATTTCATCGTGATGCCACGTATTGCAAAAAAAGGAACCAAACCGCGGCTTGGCTGTCATTCACCCTTGAGAGTGATTAGCATCTTATTTTTCCTTTCAATATCACCCCATGAGTCAAACATTAAGGACACGAGAATAAGGGAAGTGATCACCAACTGAAGAAGCTCTTGATTGTTAAACAAGTTCTCCTTGTCAGCGCCCTAAAAATGTACTGAGAGCAGTATGGAGAATATGCCAAATAAGTTTTGGGTGTAATGGGTTAGCAAGCTTAAGGACGTAATGATCATTGTAACAGTAACTACACCTCGCAATACATTATGACTAATATGATTGTGCCTGGTATAATGTAAGTAATTTTTACGTGTTTTATCTCTCCTTTATCCAGCGTATCCTTCCTGTGGACCAGATAAATTTACATGTGACAACAAACGCTGCATTCCAAACCGTTGGCGTTGTGATTTTGACGACGACTGCCGTGATGGCTCTGATGAACGGGGATGTACGCCAGGTAGAAATGCGTGGTGAATTTTTTTTTCCGAAAGAGATATTATTTACCTTAGTTACCAGCAAACATTACAGACATAACTTTGTAATGGGTCCACGCATAGCTTGGGATGCCGTAACGTTACCTTCTAATAGTAAGCCTAGCTTACCTTAGAGTTCTATGAAGCTTAATGACACTGAGGTCATCAGAGCACGGAATCTGTATGTCTAAGGTTCGATTCCCCTTGAGTTCTCAAAATTCTGTTCCCCGGTCGTGACAAGACTAAAAAGCATCTTTCTTTGATGCCTACTGCACGTTGTCATCTGCGATCACAAAGAAACACGAGGCAAAACTATGTATACTTACGCTCACCTTCAACATCCTTCGATAAATCACCTTTCACAACGGTATTTGACTTAGTGCTCATTTACCATGTTCATTGCATACGCTTCAGAACCTCACTGGTGATTTGTTACTTGGGCGAACGAACCAGAATTTTGACCGAAGCCGCCATGGTACTCCACAGTTAATACAATATGGCTCTGTTCAAGTAAACCAATTTAAGAGTCAGTTACAATCTACAATACAAAAAAGGAGGGTACCCCTCCCTCTCCCTCCCCTCCCTTCCCCTCCCTCCCCTCCCTCACCTCTCATCCCCTTCTCTACCCTCCCTCCCCTCCCTCCCCTCTCCTCCTCTCTCTTTCCCCAAAAAGAAACAAACAAATTAAAATATTTGACCTTGAGAAGTATGCAAGGTACTGCAACATGGACATGATTGGCGGTGAATCATGCTTGTATTTTTTGTTAATATACATCCATGTGATTGTTTTCAGCACCAGTCACAACAGTAGGACCCGCATCCTGCCATTCATCCCAGTTCGCTTGCAACAATGGCCGATGTATTCCGAGCAGCTGGAAATGTGATGGCGATCAAGACTGTGGAGACGGATCCGACGAGCCAAGCAGCTGCAGCAGTATGTCAACTAGATTTCAAGCATTGTTCCCTTCATTTGCCGTACAATTTATTCCTTCACTTCTTCACCATATCTAGTTCTCTTTTGTTTGTTTCGTCATGTTGAATCGATATTATATAATCTTTCATCGTTCGTCTGGCAAGGGTGCCTAGTGGCTTGATGGTAACCGCGGGCGGGCGGGGTTGGAAGCGGGGTGAGGGTTGGCGTAGGTAACTGGCAATGACATCCTCTCGAAGAGAAGTATTGCTGCTAATCACTGCGGCAGCTATGCGATTCAGTCGTTTATGCATAATGTTTCCACATTTCGGGCAGTGAGGTTGGATGAGTCTGGGTAAAAAAAGGTATTGTACTTTACAGTCGAAGAAATTTGGGGAAATTATTTTTCTATAACAGTTACTTTTGTAAATTACTCTTTTGAAGTATCCGTTACAGAAGTCTTCCTATTTCTATTCATTCCACAGAACGCAGATGCACCTCAACGCAGTTCAATTGTACAAATGGACGTTGCATCCCTCGTTCATGGAAATGTGATGGGGAAAATGACTGCGGGGATGGTTCTGATGAACAAGGCTGTACCTGTAAGTTCGCTGTAGAGTAATTTTTGATTGATTATCTAAAGCAATCCGGTATTCAATTGGTTTTACCTTATTTCGCTTGTTGATTGTTCCAGAAAGCTCGTGCCATTCGCTCAAATAATCAGATGCAAAACTAAAACCCATCTCGACTTGGTCGCCCGCGATTTTGTTCATCCTGAGTTCTCTTTGGCTCTCTTGAGATCTCAGTCTCTCGTACCAGTCTCTCCTCGATCCAAAATCATTTCGTTCTAGGCTTTTTTTGGTTTCAATTTTACTCTCTCTAGTTCTTAGCTCTTCTCGTTCTTATCTCTTCTCGCCCAAAGCTCTCCCTCCCAAAAGTAAGAAGTAGTTAAATTAAGTAAATAGGAAAAGAGATAGCTAATACTGCCTGTGGCTTATCCACAATTTTTGCCAAGGATCAATTTGTCAGCTCGTTTCTCGTATCTTCTATTCTTTTTTGTAGATACAACTCGTCCACCCGTTTCTACAATACCCTGGACCCCATCTACGAACTGCAGCAGTTGGGAATACCAGTGCAACAATAGACATTGTATTTTCCAGTGGGATGTCTGTGATGGTGCCAATGATTGTGGAGATAATTCAGATGAGTGGTACTGTGGTATGTATTTGGATAGGAGATCTCACACGGAAACTAAAGCAAAATAGCGCTATTAAAGGTCCCGTGGCTTGACATGTTACTTTACAGCCAACCCTTTCGTATGCAACCACACTATGTGTGCTCGGTTCTGGAAAAAATTGGAGGAAATAAGTTAATACAGTCAAACCTGCATTGAGCGGGAATGGGCGGGGTGACTCCTTAATACAGGTTCCACAGATGAGGGGTATTATAAACAACGATAACGACGCCACTTTATGGCATGGTTGACCATTTCATGTACAGAATCTCGCTCGAAAGTACCAGTTACTTTGATAATGGGAGAGGAGCATCGATTTACGATTACTTGAGAGATTATTCTTAGTTTTGAGTGGTCGTGCTGTCGGTGACCGTTAGACTTAGGTGGAGGACAATAAAAACAGGCCGTTGGGACTTAGTAAAGGGCGACCACGACCGCTTAATAGAGGTGAAATTGACTTTAATTAGGGGAAACCGCTTTATACGGTGCCGCGTAATACAGGTTGGACTGTAAGTCGAACAAACAGGAGCTATAGTTTAAAATTTATCGCATCCCTTCGACCACAAAATAATGCTTGAAGAAATATTTTGCATCCCCGTATGATTGTGTTGTTTGCTAGGGAAGGGTTATGTCCAAACTCTGCGGAATGCTACATGCTGATAGGCTTTTTAATAACATCTCAATCTTCCCTATTGGTAGGTACAACTCGAAGGCCTTCTGTAAATACGACAACATCACCACATAGACCCTGCCATTTCTGGGAATTCACTTGTGATAGTGGCCATTGTATTAACAATGGATACAAGTGCAATGGGCGAGATGACTGTGGGGATAACAGTGATGAAAGAGGATGCTGTGAGTAGAACTTCCTCTCTTTCTAAAGTGAACCCACATTGTTGTGTAGAAAATCAATGGTTTGCATAGCGAAATAGGTTTAAAGTTGTTCTCCCTGCTCACTCATAATCAGTTTCCAGATCATCCAGCTTTTCATCTTAGTCTTAAAGTGTTGTAGAACTTCTTCGTGAATTCTTTTCACTCGAATCCTTGAAGTAACTATAACTGGCGACTTAGTTACCCAATCAACTTGAAACTCAAGAGGACAGTTTAAAAGCATGAAGATCACCGCCTCATAGCGCTCTTTCACTGTGTTCCTCAAGATCTTTGCTTTCGGAAATTACCAGTTAATGCACTCGGAACATTTTCATTTATCATGAATTGAAATTACACATCAATCCCAATGTTCATGCGAAAGGAAATATTTATTCATAACTGCCAGTGCTCAAAATTTAATTCTTTCGCCATATTCTAGCTGCTCACGTATCAACAGTGGCGCCCTCCACTGCCCCGGCACCCTGTCCAAATGGCTGGCTTCATTGCGGACAAACACAGTTTGTAATCTGCATTAAAACGGAGTGGTTGTGTGATGGACAACCTAATTGTCCACAGAGTTGGGATGAAAGGCCAGAGAATTGCCCAAGTATGATTTAAAATTTTTTCGTTATACGTCAATTTAGTAGTTTTTCTTGTCCTAAACAGTTTGTTCTCCGGCGATCTGAATTTACCATCCTATTGGACGTCGTATATTTAATCACACTACGGATAACTTGTCTCCTCAGTGCTGATTCTTCAGCTTTTTGTTGGATTTTTGTTCCTTTCCCATATGTTTCTTAAATGTTGCTCTTTCTTTTCTCTTTTCTTGTAAGATAAATTTTTGTATCCCTTCACTTTTTTCAGTCTACAACAAGCATCCTATCAAATGCGTTCAATGATATTTCCTTTTGAGGTAGCCAACATATTACCATTTTTGTCATTGCATAAAGTTCTCGGACGAATTTCCTTTGCCATTTGAAGATCTCCTCAAATTGCCCTGTTTATTCAATGTCCTGTTCGAAAAAAGTTTTTTTTTAGTTGGTGAAACGTACCCTAACATACCCACTCATTAACTGAAATTGTTCTCATTACTTTACTCAAAGAAACTACCAGAGTACCCATCACGTGCTCAAGTGACCAGTATCAATGTACTAATGGCGGTTGTCTTCCCCGCTCTTTTGTGTGCGATGGAAGGGATCAGTGTGGTGATGGTTCAGATGAGGCCGGCTGTGGTAAGAAGAAGGATACAACACATTTTGTCTCCCTCAATACGTTGTAATGAATTGGTGCTGAAATGTGCCATGGTCATTTGTGTCTCCACCAGAAGGTCCCTTTGGGTGGGGTGGGTGATGATAGGGGAATGAAAAGTTTTAGTTTGATTAAACAGAACCTGATTTTTTATTCGAGGATTGTATCGTCGTGGGGAGACCTTAAGTGAGACTCGTTTACAACTTACGCTGGAAAATAGTTGAGCAGAGAATGAAGTTATTGGCCAAATTGAAGTGAAGACTTGGCAACATTTTCTGATCTTATACCTTGTTAAAAAACTATAATTGTGACTTGTTTGTTTTGCGTCATGTTCTTCTGACGCGCCTCTCTCTCGAGTGATGGTGAAATCATAGTAAAGTAATCTCAGCAACCAATCAGAACAAAAGAAAGGATCACGCGGAGCCAGTAAGAATCCAAATTAAACACATGAAGATAGCCTGATGCGTGGGAAAATAGGTGTTCACGTAGCGATTGGTTTTCGTACTCCATCTGTTTGGTTTAGAAGGTGGAGCAGTCCTACAGACGAACCACGGAATCAGAGCTCAAAAACATTAAAAAAAAGCAGCAATACTACAGTAAAATGGCAGCATGTTGGAAAAATCCAAAATTGGCACGGTTTTTTCTCCTTAGGTTAAGACGTAGAAAGTAGAAAAGTTAAGCTTTCAAATATTTCTGCAGACCGTCTTACTGCAGGGGTTTTAAAAATCTTTTTAACACCATAATTTCATCCTTGAAGACCACTCACCGAAACTTCTGTGCTCCTATCGCGAATACGGATTTCGGGCAGGGTGATGCTAGCGACTGTTCTCCATCTTGAGCTTTCCAAATAAATTGGCGCCGCGTTAATAAATGTGTCACTATGCTGTTATTTTGGATATTCTCTAGGAACTTGCTCAGGCTTCTGGTGCGACAAAACCCAGTGTTTACCTGTTTCACGGAGGTGTGATCACATCCCGGATTGCCTCGATGGTAGTGATGAGAGGAACTGCAGTGAGTACCCATTATAATTTCTGACTTGTTGTCGTATCGTCTTTGTGTAATCTAGAGGTCGAAAGTTTTGGCAGGCGATAAGAATGAAAAGAACTAAAACAAAACAAATCAAAAGCAAAATAGCAATTTAGCAAGCAACCAAACAAACAAATAATCAAGGAAAAAGATAATGATCAGTTTGAAGAAAGAGAAACAATAAAACAACTAGGAAACGTTTTTATCGTTCATGGTTTTTGCAAATAATTATCGAAAACGGATTTTCTCTACAAGTCAAGAGAGTCGTAGAAAAATTGTTGCAACATTTGATTACTGAATTTTTTGTTGAATGCTTTGCCAACTGACCTTTAAATGGTGTGCTGAAAACTTGGCGAGAGTATCATTTTTCGGATTAGCGTTTTTTATCTCTCCTTTATTTTCTTGTTTATATCGTATTTAGTGCGATTTGCTTTTTTGGTTCAAGATATCACATGGGAACTTATATCTGCGCTTTTTTGATGGAGTAGCGGAACATCGATAAAGAGACAAATGTAATATGCCGACTCGTTGAGTCACAGCACAATCTATCTTTATTGAACCTTACTGATCAAAAGGGCTGAATCGATGACAAAATCAAATAAGAAGCTCCAACATCCCATTGCCTTCCCCCTGGAATTTTCATACTTCACGGTGGACTGCTAACAAACCAATCAAATAGACATCGAAAAAAAAAGTTTTTACCAAGTCAGTAACCTTGTGTCTGGGTTTTTATGTTTTTCGTTAGGTACCAATTTGCAAGTTAAAGGCGTTCAAGTAAGTACTCTCTCTGCAACAAGTGTCCATATAACGTGGCGCCCAATTTCTTACCAGCCCCCTGGAATGACTTTTACTGGGTACAGGGTCTCTTACCGGTGAGTGAACAAGAAGTAAATTATTTTAATGTTATGCGGCACAGGGCTGCCAACTAGTTTGAAACTAGAAGACATACAAGACATAGTAGGCAGCCAGAGGATTGCACATAAGATTGGGAACTATTCAGTTTAAATGTCCCAGGCGTTCCGCGACGTTCGCACAAACCTATGTGCAAATTTTGAACATGGAGTTTATTCTACTATCTAAAGCTGTGACTAGTAAATTATACATTCAATTTCATTGTAACGGGCAATGGGCTGCGGTGCAAATTTCTTTGACGGTATTTACAATTTTTCATCAGAATTTAAAACTGAAAACTAGTACACTGAAGTGAAAGTAGGCAGTTTCAGATGCAGACTAGCCTGTGATTTTGGCCAGCTACCGGTTCCTTTTGGGAGCTGTGGGTAAAACTTGTAATGTGTCGCAGAGGAAAACGTGTATCTTTTGCCAGACTTAAAACTTACCTCTTCCTTTGTGGATGTTTTCCCTATTAGAGCTGTCAGACTACACTCTGTGCCCGTGTTAGGGAGCTGGCAGCAAGAGGAATCCCCAAACGTCAACTATTATGTCATCAGATTTCTACAGCCGTGCTCAGAATATGAATTCAAGGTTCAGCTCCTTGTGAGCGGAGCTCAACCAGGGCCATACTCTTCGACCGTGAAAACGACAACTAAATCTATTAGTGAGTGGTATTAGTGCTCGTTAAGTGTGTGATCGCTTCATGGTTGCTCAGCTGCTTTAAGTAATGTAGATACATTCAACTAACTGATACCAACTAATCAATACTGTCTGAATAGAGCGGCTCTCCCAGTGAGAGAAGTGGTGAGGCGGGAGGCAGGGTGGGGGAGGGGGGTGGAGTGAACCTAAGACCCTTCATGCAACTGCAGTAGAAAGGTCCGGGGTCTGTTCACTGGTGTGGTGTGTGACTTTGCGTGGAAGTAATCAAGAATGAGATCAGCGATTTGTGCAAACTGCTTGGATAAGGTTGGCTGTGTCAACTTCATTCGATGCACAATTGACGGCTGTCATTGCTTGTTTTTTTCTAGGAACCAGTAAACCACAGCATGTGCGACTTTTGTTGGCACCTGACGATTCGTTGCAAGTTTCTTGGGATCCTCCAACCACTTACTGTCAACTTATTACGAACTATGAGGTAAAACAATCGTAAAAGGAATCGTGTGTTCATTGAGGAATTAAAGATTTTGATGTTCAAATTGACAAATTATGTTTTTTAAATAGATAGATATATTTATTCAATGATTAATTGATTGATAAATTCTTTGAGTGATGGATTAATTGACTGATCGATCGATTGACTGATTGATTGATTGATCGATTGACGGATTGATTGATTTATAGATTGATTATTGATCAATTAATTATAGATAGATTGATTGACAGTGATTGATTTATTAATTGATAGATTGATGATTGATCAATTGGTTGATTGACTGACTGATTGATTGATTGACTGATTGATTGATTAATTGACTGGTTAATTAATCGATTGATCGATAGATTGACTATAGATAAATTAATTGATTGACGAATTGGTTGACTGTTATTCATTTTTATTTACAGGTTGCATACAAGATGACCAGTGAAGCTGATTTCCATACCAAAGAAACTGGCAATGTCTATTCGCTTTCCCTTAATCTTACACAGGGAGTTCATTATAGCATTAAGGTGAGGAAATGGGTGTAAGTTCTTTCTTTACCTTTAAACTCCCACGAGTGACCAAGACAGAGTTTCTCCTCACAACGTTAATATGATATCAAGCATACAAGTAATGAGACTAAAGAAAACTAATAACTAGGGAATTGCTGATGTAATGCCAAATTCTTCGAACTAACACCTTGCAGACTGTAAGGAGAATTATCAGTGAAATCTTGAGATTGAGGGGGTTAAGCGATAATGCATTCTCAACAAATGTATTACAGACCTGTTCCGTGAGTGGCTGGTAAAGACCAACTTATGTTCAAACGATACCGAGAATTTAAATATGAGTAGAGAACAATTGTTTCCTTTGTATGTTTATAGTACTGGGATTATCCTCTCTGTTTTCTGGATTTTAACCTCCATGAAAATGGTTAAATTGTATTTTCGTCCGCACTACGATTCGTTTATCCGGAGAAAAGTGGCGTAACGGTGTTGTTTTGATATACCACCAAATTATTTGTCACGAAGAATTGCATGGAAATGTTTTTAAGCTAAACGAGAGAATCGGGCACCAGACCTTGAATGTTAAAGAATTGAAATAAATAAAAGTGCGTTTAATTTTGTTTTTCAAAGGTGAAAGCTTTCACCGGAGACAAGGGTGGTGATGGTGATGGTGAATATTCCAAGGTGCAACCTGTGTATATTCCAACTGTAGTTCAAAAACCGACAGGTATGTTTGGCTTCTTGTTAAGCCATTAACCTTTCATTTTTCCCTCTATTTGCGTTTTTTGTCCCTATGAAACTGAGTAGTAGTTCGATGCGTCTACCGTTTCTGACGGTGCGACATCTTCCCCTCCGCATAATATGTGAATATAATCGGAGTTCGTGTTGTTGCTGGCGGGGTTTCCTAGCCGAGAGGACGTAGAAATGCACGTGCTAAGGTATTGTTTTGTCTATTGTGTTGTATCTTTTGTTTCGCTGCGTTCTCGTCGCCGTCGTCGTCGTCGTGGTTTTCTGAAAGTCCCTAGTGTTGATGGATGGGCGACGCTAAGAAGGAAAACGGCAACATTTCCGCCATTTTGCGCCTACCCGCTCTTTTGCTTGTCTCCATTGACATAGAACCTGCCACAGGTTACCCAGCTATCCGAACTTGTATTCTGTTAGATTGCTGACAGCAGCTCTCGGTTAGGCGGACCTTTTTGGGCAGTTCAGCTCAATAAGCATTTCTGCATGAAATTGTCGGTAATATTAACAATAAGAAAATATTTCTACTGGGCGGTGAAAGTAATCTGCGATTGCATCGGTTTTTCTTTACTTCGTTGCTTTGCGAGAAAAAAAAAACTCTTGCTTCTTTCAAAACCTATCGGATGCATTATCTAAGACCATTGGCGGCTGGTAATTCGTTATTTCCCTAGCCTTGAGCCAGTAGTATGCATGCAAGACCAACTCTTTTCTATCGTATTTCAGCACCAGTAAAGAAACCGCATTACACATTTCTGAATGACACTGCAGTGACACTCGTCTGGGGAAGTCCTACACATCCTGTGCTGGTATTTATCATATGAATGATATAAAGGAAATGAGTTCACGATGTTTGGTCACCAGAGACCAAAATGTTACTTCTCAGTCAGAACTTCTTTCTCACCAATCCCGCCACAATTAAATGCCGCCAGAGTGGGACGAAGAAAAAATAATCGGGAATCGAACCAACGACTTCTGAATTAACAAAGTCTCCTTACCCCACCAGTCAGCTCCAGAGACTTTACCACACGCCCCAGAACCAGACACGCGGCTCTTCTACATACCTCCCCACTTCACTCTGCTTGGATTATTGATGGGTACTGGTAATTGTCAGGGCAACTTGACGAAGGGTTCGATGTTAACAAATTGGACCTGGGATGTTTGTATGAAAAATTAATCCCCTCATTTGCTACTGCAAAACACTGTGTGGTATTAGTCGTTTCCAAGGGGCTCTCTGAATAGTGTCTTATTGAGCCCAAGTCTGAGAGGCCTTATTCATTACGCGAAGATGGACGGCGTTTTCTCCTTTTCATTTATTTATCTGTTTATATTTTTCTAGGGTTATAAAGTGTATGAGTTGACCACCGATGGCTCGATTCTCCTCGTTACGACGAGTCAACATAATTACACTGTTTATTCACTGCTCTCGCATAGCACATATTCATTTGTAATAAAACCATACAATAAAGCTGGTGAAGGTCCTCCTGCGACTATAGAAGTAACGACTAATGGAGGTAAGCTTGAGGTGGCGGGTATGGTTGCTGTAACTCTTTGCTGGACAAAAAAAGGGTGGGTTGCGATTTAAATGGCTAGGATGTAATGATAATAGCCCTCTGTTTTTGCCTTCCGCCGACTGATCGCTGAAGGGCTGGTGACAAATCAAAAATCAAGGGATGTTCCCTCCTAGCCCCACCTCATTTGCCTCGTGCTCTTCGCTTGCGTCCCGAATGGTTTTCGTCCTCTGCTTTCTCCTCATTTCCCCGTGAACTTGTCAAGAGAATTTGTCTTTTTCTCGGGTCAATGTCATGTAGCTGTATAAGTAAGTGTCATATGTTCATCCCTTTGCTTGACAATGGATTGACTCTAGGGAGCAGAAGGATGAATCCTTAACACCCCAGCGACAGAGGGTACATTCTCCGTACTGTTCTCGGCACATTTTCTTTGTTACTGATAGGAATACTTTGTTCAGGAATCAAGAGGCTCTTTAGGTGCTGATTATTTTCTCCACTCTCATGATGTTTGATTCAGTAGTGGTACTGTGAGGGGAAAATTAAATGTTAGTCACGTTTAGGATGTAACCCTTAACTCCCTGAGAGGGGCTAATTTCTCCTTACGGCATCACTGCTGAATCACACATTAAGGTTATGAGAAATAAGGAAATGATCGCCATCTAAAGAAGCTGTTGATTGTTAAACAAATTCTCTTGGTCAGTTCCATAGCAAATGTATAAAACAGAGTGGAAAATTCGCATACTGATGTTACGATGCAAAGAGGTGAAGGTTTGAGAAAAGGGAAGCTGTTCCTTCGTTGTGTTGTCAACTAGCTGCAGAATTCCTAGCTTGTCACGCTCACGACAAGAATCGGGCACCATCTATATTAACCTTTTTACTAACCGAGCACGAGGGCTGCACTGGGGAATATTGGCCCAAGGTCATGGCAGCTTGGATTGAGTACTGAGAGGTCTGTACAAGAACGACCGAGGGCCAATATTTCCAACTACGGCTCGAGCAAGCGAGGCGAGAAGGTATTTTGAACGTGCTGGCTTCTGCGATCAAAAATTCACGGCTTGTGACCGTTATCTTGGAAACGGTCCGTATGGCAAAATCCCCACCAAGTAAGAACCAATCAGAACGCCCGATTTATATTTACCATATAATGATATTTCTTTCCTTTCCTTGATTAGGGAACCCTCCAACAGATGTAAAGGCGACTCCGTACAACGACACAAGCATTGTTCTGTCTTGGAATCCACCACGACACAGTCAGGGTGTGGTTAGTTACAATAACTTTTTTGGATCCCAAATAGTAGTAATCTCTCTGTTCAGTTGTTGCATCGCTTATACCATGGCGTGGTCATTATTGCACTTAGGACGAACTTTTAGTTGCGTTCGACGAAGGAAGAACGCTTCCTAATCTCCTGGGCTACCTGTGATCGCGTAGGTGTCCTGTGCACGCAAGCGAAAGCTGACCCGTGTTTTTTCGTTCGATCGGCCGGCCGTTCATCTTTTCAGCGCCATTTTGAATGACGTCACAATTTCGTTGCGCAAAGGATGCTGCCTCGTGCATCGCAAAAAACAATATTTCCCCTTTGAAATGCCGAACGCACTTCCCTAATCTCCGATTACTACTAGTCTAATCATATATTCTAACAAAGAAATAAAAAAAGCGGCACACGAGCGATGGACTCATGCATCACTTATGATTAAACTTCATGTTCGCGTCTTCTGTGATCTTTATCTCTGAAACATACAAGTCAAATTTGCATCTGTAAGTTGGAAATAGTGACTTAACCTCTAACTCTAACTCTAACTAAACTGTAAACTTCTAACTCTCACGAGTGACCAAGTCAGACTTTCTCCTTAAAATATCAATACAATACCAAGCAGACTAGTCATGAGAATAAAGAAAAATATCAATCAGAGAATTATTGGTTGATCCAATTCCAAATGCTCCAAACTGACATCATATGAATTGTACAGCAGACTGTAAGGAAAATTACTAATGAGATCTTGGGAGTTAAAGGGTTAAGCAGCTGATATCATTATTCCTGCTCTTACCTGACGTCTGCTCCCATAACTTAAAGAGCCAATTCATTTACACGAGGTCTAACCCAAGGGGATTATTAGTTGATTCAATACCAAATTCTTCATTCTAGTATCATAGGAGTTGTATGACAGACAGTAAGGAGAACCCCATGGAGATCTTTGAAGTGAAATGGTTAATGTTTTGGAGCTTGAGCAGACAATCGCAAAAAAACTACTTCCTAAATGAAATTTAGGTCATGTTTGTTCTTAAACAAACAAAAGTACAGGTCAATGTCAGTATTTCAGCAACTGCGCACCTACCCCTCCCTTAGCCCAATAACAGTCAACTGATAACAAGTCGGGGCTTATTATTAGGTAGGGGAGGGGTAGGGTGCGCAGTTGCTCAGATACTAAAATTGATCTAAAATGTAACAGATGAAAAAAACAACAAGAACAAAAACAAAACAAATAATCGCCATGGACGAAATAAAACTGCAGAAAAATGTTCTTACTCAGCCAAAACTGTCTTGACCATTTCTTCCGAAGATAAGCATGCGAAAATGTCTCCAGTTATTGCAAAAACTAAAGAAATAAGTAAAATTTACATTGACATTTTTTTTGGTCTTGAGTCTCATTTCCCATAATGCTTTTTACTTTTTCCACTCCACAGAGATACTACATTTTCTACGGACGGGTGACCACTGGAGTCAGTTCACGGCCTGTGGGCTCCACAACGACTCAGACTTATGTAGTGAACAACTTGCAGCAGGAAATTGTCTACGTGTTTGAGGTGTCAGTGGGCTTGTTTGGAAAGCGCAGTGTAGCAGCAAACTCTCAAACGAAAACTGGTGCGTAATTGTTCCATTAACAGCTCTATAGAGTCGATTTAACCTTTTCATAATCCATCATTCCTTTTTTGTTTTCATTATAAGTACATTGGGTGCCGATTTCTCGCCTTTACTCATTGGTAAGGCGTTTTTGACATTGCTGATATTGTTATATCCAGAGATGTGACGTCGGAGGTTGTCTATCGTTATAAATTTTGCTTGAATGTTCCAAGTCTTTAATATACCATCTTTCTTTTTTTAGCTTTCCATCCTTGGCCAAATTTGATCATTCTTACTTTATTTTTTCCTCATCCTTGTGTTTTATCTTGTTGAACCAATATTTTTTAGTCCCAGCAGGTCGAATACGGTTTTCATTTTCCTTTCGGCCATGTCACACAACTTCACCCCCACCCAACCCCACCCCTCCCCACCCTCCTAAGTAGCTTGTTACTTTACGAAACAAGGTACAGCTGCGGATGAAATCGAGGATAAGTTGTAACGTCACAAAAAACACATGTAATTTCTTGACGTAACACTGATAGTGATCTAACAAACTTACCGTTATAATTCACCAGATGCTGTCCATAGTCTTCAAGCTCGCCTTGTCAACTCCAGTAGTGTGGTTCTTACTTGGGAGGTACCAGTGAATGTGGATGTTAGTAAAATTACTGTAAGTACCAGTCCCTTTCACCTTAAACTTCCAGGCAACCCTGTTGATTATAAAAAAATGACTTTCGTGGTCAAAACTGTAGGGAAGTTTTAATCTATAGATGCTGTAACTCCTCTGCGCAAGTGTTTTTTTTTTTTCTTAGTTTCTTTATCTTTACCAGCATCCCCTGCAATCCTTGTGATCCAGCTTGCACATTCCAGCACTCTTTGCACTACTTCCACTGCGAGAAAGAGGGAGGGAATTATATTTTAACAGACTAAGGTGTCAGGAGTATTGTTAGCCTGTGTAGCACATCTGAATGAACATTGAAATTACAGATTGCCAATCAACACTTTTGTGATGGGAGAACTTCTAGCAGATAGTTATTAAAACTAGGAAGCGTTTTGGTGTCTCAAATATATTATTGAGTCAACCGAACTGTAGTGTAATTTATTACTGTTGAGTACAGCACCCAGCTTTTCTAAGTAGCTATATAGAATAATGAGTGATTTTCTTTTTTCCTTAGTTTGTCTTGTTTTGTTTTCCAGGGATACCAATTGACGAGGACGTACAGGGATGAGTCCGGTACTGACACTGCTACTCGATCCACCAACCAAACTACTTATGAATTCAGATACCTCCCTTTTGATACCATCGTCACTTTTGAAGTGAAAGTCAAATACGGCAACCAACTTGGCACGGGTATAAGCACCACCAAAAAAACTAACCCATTCACGGCATCTGTTAGGCCATTGAGGATACGAGTCGTAAACGACGTTGTTGAACTGTTCTGGTCTGCACCAAGAACGATCAGTAATAGTGCTCTAAAGGTAATAAGCTGCTGTTCTTAACTCCATGTTAGAACAACCCGATCTGGGAGATAAGTGTACCAGTTACACTGACGAGTTTTATTCAGTCCATGACAAGTTGAACTCTGTTAAATGTAATAGTACCAAAACAGGTGTGATTTTGGAAAAGGGACTTTTGGGAAACATTTTTCATAATTTTCATATCGACTGTTTAGGGAAAAAAAATCAAGTGATGTACATCTCTGATGACATGAGCCTCGCTGCTTTGAATGATGATTTTCTTCTTAACTTTGCCTTGTTTTCTCTTTTCGGTATGAGGAGTATTTTTCCTCGTGGTAAATTGTTTCATTCGCTATTGTAGACAAAGTCTCGTTGTTAGAACAACCCGATCTTGGTGATATATGTACAGAGTCTTACGGGAAGCAAATTGACCTTATCCCAGCTCCCTCTTTGACAGATAAGAGCTTTTTTTCCATCTCCTGTCTCTTTCTTAATGACACTGGTTTATTCGTTTATTAATTATTTTGTTTGTTTTGTTTTGTGAAGCTCTATCAGGCGAATTGGACATGCCCCTCGTGTGTTACGAAGCATGGTACAAAAACGGCTCCTACAACTTCGTGCGTGTTTAAACAGTTGGAGCACTCCCGAAAATACACATTCTCTGTAAAAGCAGTGACTAAATTTGGCGTTGGGGAAGCCTCGATTGTTACGGCCACAATAACCCGAAACTTTGGTGCCGTTGGCAGGTTGAGACAGTCTGTGTCGGGAAACAATTTAACACTTGATTGGGATGTGCCATCTGACGTGGAAAAGAAAGATGTTCAGGTACGGGTCGTTCAAAACAAGATTTAAAGGTTGTTTATATATAGGTTCACTGCCGTAGTAATTTCATAATAGTGATAATAAAAATGATCAAAGTGCTCTGTGAGCAAGCTCGTGAATTGACAGATGACTTACATGATTTTTTGGAATATGTTTAATGTTATCTGATTTTAGGCAAATTTGTGGTTGATTGACATATTTAGAGTACGAGCATTAGTTCAGTGTTCGCTTATGTAGCATAGAAACAAAGTAACATTGGGATAAGAAGGCATTACAATTGAAATGATCATGCTATTACACTTGACAAGGGTGGATGATGTCATGTGTTTTAAAACGTATATCATTTCTGTTTCTGGTTCAAAAGAAAAGGTTGAAAGTAAATGTGAGTGAAAAGTGAAATTTACTGTCTATCATTGTAAATATTGGAAAATCAAGGCAATACTGTCTTAATGAAAACATGAATGATTCCCTCTTTATCAAATGAGACAAACGGGAACGAGTTTTGAGAGATATAACAAAGCCCAGACTGCCACCGTCATTTTGGATTTCCGCCTGGGTAGATTTTGGTCACGTGCTAGGCAACGTATAATCAAGAACAAGATAGATTTTCATTTCAGGCCTATTTATCAATTTTGTGGTGTATAACTTTCGCATTTTAGTACGTGATATTTATTTTGAATCTTCAAATTGTCTTGAAACTTTGAAAGAAAATTGTTCTTTAAAAATTCACTGAAAATCAGTAGCCAAAATTATTTGTTTAGGTGTTATTTTACTTTCGCGTTAACCTGTAATTTTGTCTGTCGCTGGCACCTCTTGTTGCTTCAGAAAAAACACACGTTACGAAATGTAACGATCGATTTTGTCCTCAACCTCACGCCATCACAGAAAGCTTTTGAACGCTTGTAAACTCGGAGCGCTTCGTTGTAAGTGATATTTTCATTGAATCTTCGGATTGTTTTCAAGTTCAAGGATTGTAAATCATAATTTTATGAAAAATGAAGGTTGTTCTCTTATTTCAGTGTGAATCCTCACACACGCCTGCTAGTCGCTGGCGCCGCTTGTTGAAACGAAAACGAAAAAAAATAAACTCTTCTAAGATTATCATTGGCTTATTTTTCACCCCACCACTATTCTTAGCAACAAAGGTCGCAATTTCGTTTGTTTATTACTCGCCAAAAGCCTAAAATCGAAAAAAAAGTTTACAGGAATCGAGTGAGCGAGCGAGTGCCATTCCCCACATCATATCTACAACTCGCTCTTGCGCATGCGCGCAATTCACGAGTTAAAAATGATATTGACGATGGTGATGAAGATGACGATGGCTAGGGCGATGACGACGATGACGATGGCGATGACGATGACGATGGCGATGACGATGACGATGGCGATGACGATGATGATGACGACGATGACGGTAGCGAGGACGACGATGACAATGGCGATGACGACGACGACGATGGCGATGATGATGATGATATTGATGATGATGATGATGATAATAGTAGTAACATTAAATGATGATAAATAATTAAAAATTACATTTTATAACTGATATACACTGCAAATAATCTAACTGTTAACTCCCTTTTGGTAAAACTTATTAAAGCCTTTCACAACTCTTAAAATTTAGCTATACGTACACCCACAAACGGAAAAAAAAAAGTGAAACTACTTCTAGCTTAAAAACTTGGAAGTCTTCAAGTAAAAAATCGATTGATTCGTCAATGTTTCATTTTTTGATTTGCTTTATTTTTTTTGCATAATGCCTTTAAGTGAGGTTTTAAATGAAAAATAAAAACTATGCATTCCTTTTTATTTCTGGATTAGCGCCAATCGTCTCCGGTAAAAACAGCCTAGTTGTTAAGGGAACTCTGTCGCTTATTCTATGACAGAATTTTAGTACAGGTTCTTGTAATTTGCGCAATGATAACAGCCTTTCAGTCTTTTTGGCTAGTAGTTTTTCTTAAAATAGGAGCAATCCTTATTAAAACCTCTCGTAGTGTCCACGCTAAATAGGATTTTGGTACATGTGTCCCTTTTTCAGAGGTATCCGTTGATGGATACGGAGAAAATTTGAACGCTGGCTGTTGTCGCGGAAAGTTCATAGGGCGAAGTGCGACTGACCATTCTTCTTAGATACTGCTCTGTCTATGTTTTACAGGTCTATCAAATCAGCTGGTGTGAAATCGGAGACTACTCATATTGCTGGCATACCAACTCAACTAATTCCACGGGTAATGCAACTCAGTTCATGACACAGGTGCTCGCTGGCTACACGTACACTTTTTATGTTCAAGCTTACACAGCCTATGGAAAAGGGAGAGCGTCCAGCATTCAAGTCATAGTGCCACCTCTTAGTCTGGTGGTGTGGAATGGTCGCGGAACGCGGACGGGCGGCAATCACGGATTAGAAGTATATCTGACCTGGAGGCCGCCATGGTCGGTTAGGCCTGGAGACAAAATAGTGAGTGCATGCTTTGTTCTTTGTTTTCGCTTTTGGTTCCTTTGATTTTGGATTATAATTATCATTGTTTATCACTATTAAGATGATGGTTGCTGGGAATGCCTCCATTAGCAGTAAAAGTTTAGTACAAGGTACTACTCACAAGTTTTTAAACACGACCGATTTATTCCCTCTCTTCTTTGCAAACTCACGATGAAAATACGCATGATTGCGCTAACATGCCCCAATCTGTCAATCTTAAATCTTATCTATTCTCGGCCCCGGTCTCCTACATGATTAAGATTGTAATCAGTATCGTTTGACGAACGCTTGTACTGTATTTATTGTGTTGGTTGTGAGTTTTTCTCTTTTTCCACGTTTTGTAACGTCTTATCGAGAGGCACATGGAATCAACACTTTTGTGCTTCTACGATAGTTGGTGTGCGCTTGTGTCTGCTTCTTAACCCTGTGACCCCTAAAAGAGGATAGCATATAATTTTTCCTTGCATTATCACTCATGAATCAAGCATTAATGTCACTATAATAAAGGAAATTATCAAAACTAAAGCCCTTAAGAAAATGTATCGAGGAGAGTATGGATGGAAGGGTGTAAAGGGTTAACAAAACCAATGAGGAAACGCAACACAGTCTTACTCCTCTCTCTATCTGTTTTATCCGATAGCAATATGAAGTGGAGTGGCGCTGCTCATCAGGATCAGGAAGGGGCTACTGTTATTGGTTCTACGCTCGGAACAGCATCGTTGTGAATACAACCTCCGCAAAGCTGAATATGACATCCTTTGGAGTAACTTACATGTTCAAAATCACACCGACCATCCCTTCACGAGGGAAAGGAAAGCCCTATTCCTTAGCTGTCACTATGCCTGATTTTACTGCATCCATTGGAAATTTTGCTTGTTGGGCTGAAAGCGCGTCAAATGGTACTCGTCTTGAGTGTCACTGGTCCCGTCCCACGGGCTTCGATCCATCTCAATTCTATGTAAGTGATAACAAACTGAATCTTAGCGCTTTTCGATTGAATTTTTTTTAGGGTATTTAAAACTGAGTAACGAAAGTAACACAATATTGCATCGTTTTTACTTTAATTCGCTCTGTGATTGGTCTAAAAACTTTGCGTCACCCTCAGCCAATTAAATGCAGTCGACGCTGGTCAGATTTGGTTGATCTTAGTTACCTACGTTTCAGGCACTTTGAGTCCTCATTAGGTCCCAAGGAAATTTCTCTTTCTCCTGATTGGCTTAAACCAAAGTTATCTTAACAGCCAATCATAACAATCGTCAACACGGTGAGGATAAAGTGAGAATGCAGAATCATTTTAAACTTGCGTAAGCTCGTGTTTTTTTTAAGGTAGGAACTGCGTTTAGAATCTTTAGCCATCTCAGCGAATTAATCTCGATTGCTTTTCCTCTTTGCTGAAGAATAACATCTACAGCAATTTTATACTGATTCTCGAAAGTAATCTAGGATTTCTCTAGTTTTGCTGCACTTAGCTGTGATTTTCCCATAAAGTTCGCACTTCTCTCCCTCAACCAATAATATGAAAAGCTAAATTTATCGCGACTCGGTTGTTGGCGTTTTCCCGCGCTTTAAGCAGTTTGCCAATTTTTAGCTCAGAGTTCCCATTGGCTAATGACGACTGAAATCTTTGTTCTTATTGGCCACTCGGTTGTTGGCGTTTTCCCGCGCTTTAAGTAGTTTGCCAATTTTTAGCTCATAGTTTCCATTGGCTAATGACGACTGAAATCTTTGTTTTTATTAGCCATTTTGACGTTAATTTGGTTTTCATACACTTACTGAACGCTTTCTTAGCACTATTTTTATCAGTGTTTATTTAGCCTTCATAGGCTCATCTAAAATGATGGCCTGAGCCTTTAAAATAATCACTTGTCAGTTACAAGGCTCTAAGAGTCACTGTTGTGTGATTTAATTTTGTTTTTGGTAGCACTACGACTTCAAATACAGGTGTGACGATTGTCTTTATGGACATATCGTATACAAATCCATCAGATCTATAAATCAAACCTCGGTCAGCATATATGTGGATAAAGGTCAACAATACACACTTTGGAACAGAGCTCATGCATCATATGGATATGGAACTCAAGCTCAGACAACGGTTCTTATTGGGTCCACTTTACGACCTGTGAGAAGTTTGAAAGCTGTAATTGACCCAAAAAAGAAGACCCTTGTGCATCTGTCATGGAATGCCCCAATCAACACGTCGGTTAAGGTTTGTAGTAACCCTTTAGCCCCTAAGAGTGACCAGCATCCAATTTCTCCCCACTGTATTACCCGTGAATCAAATATGAAAATCAGGAGAATAGAGGAGATGATCATCAACTGAAGCAGCTCTCGATTGTTAAACAAATTTTCCTTGTCAGCCTCTTTGGAAATGTATGGAAAACAGTATATGCATACTGATGATGAGTTCAGAACAAATTATGAAAAATGTAGGGTGGAAAGAGCTGATAATTGATCTGTGATAAACTTGGAAATGAAAGGGTTAAATCAAGGAATACAACAGTGCTTGGTCTCCAGAGTAGCTTATTTTGACGTCGTCAGAAAACGAGGTCGTTATTGTACTTACGATGTGATCCCGAAGTAATCGAAAAAAGCTGTGCGTTAAGTATCCATGACATCCTGTTTTGGTTTTGAAGAAAAAGCGACCTGAATATTCACAATAATTCCAAAAGCCTATTGGTTTTGTCACGATACAATTTACCTAATTTCCCCCCCTCTAAGTCTATAGTATTCGTGTAATTCCTCCACATTGGCAGTCGGTTTTCTATAGTCCCCCTTTCATACTCTGTTAGCGACGACTGATCTCCCCTCCGT